AGAGACGGAAACTTCCCTAGGGCTAAATACTATGAAATCTGCTACAAAAAGCTGCTCAAATGCTGTCGAAGCAATGAAAACAAGCTACAAATACTATACACTTTTTAGGAGAGTCCCTAGAAGACATGCCAAATCATCACGTAGAAAGGTTTTCTTCTGTTTGCTAAGAGCAAAGAAGACGACTGGGGGAAACTGTCACTTTTTGAAGCACAGAAATACGGGCAATGATTATTGCAAAAAGAAGGCATGCCCTGGAAAAAATAGCTTCCGGGTGGGGGCGGGGGGGTGAGGGTTGATGGGAGGAGAAGATGCATTGTTATACACAGAACACCCTGATTACCTGTTCCCTGTTGAATCTTGGGGAATCTGTAAGTTTGGAATAATAGAAGAAACACCATATTCATCCTGATACTTCTTACACGTTTTATAATGCTGTCTCATCCACGAAAATCTAACCTGTAAATGAAATGCCAAATTATTGTGATGATACCACACAATCCAGGGATAGAAGGAAGAGGTAATTCTGCCAACAGAAAGCAAATGCATGCAGGGATTATTTAGACATCATAGGCAGCAGAAACCAGCACTTGTGTCTCCCCCCTCAGCATAAACACTGTCTTCCCCAACAGGAGATCTTCGATTCCCTTCTCCACAGAGCCTCTGCCACCCTGTGAGACTGTAGAACATTCCCACTCCCCAAACCCCCGACAGCCAAGTGACTGAGAGCGCTCTCTCAGGGGTGAAAGATGCGAGTAAACTGCATTTAACTGAAGCAAAGTCCCAGGAACTACATCTCCCACATCCAGGATCAATAACAGATGAGCTACAACAGAGAGGGGCCATAGGGGAAGGAATGGAAACACCACTTTTCCTTCAGTCTTCTCTGGCCTGCTGTTACCTTGCGCAGCGCAAGATCAGTCTGCATTGTGTTCTGTGAATATATAACTTCCCTCTTGGAGAAAAAAGAAAGAAAAAAAAAAAGGTGAATGAAGACCAACTTCAGGCTGCCTCCCCAGCCTAAATGCAAGGTAAGACAACGAGTTGCTGAGGTTTGTCAGTAGACCGCTGTGCTGGACGTGCCCTAAATCAGAATTTCAGGTCCAACAGCACTGTCAGAAAGTGCTTAGAGGCTGAACAAGATCCCATCTCACGTGCCTGTGCCTAAATTCCATTAATGTTCTCCTGGGCATCTCTTTGGTTCTTCCTTCCAGTTTACCAACTTGTTCTTGTTTCCTTCTCCCAGCTTTTCACCCCCATGAATCACGTGGAACAAAGCAAGCAGCTCGGCTTTCCACTAGTGCAAATCTTCACACTGGCAGAACTAATTCTGTTCTTCAGTTTAAGAACAAAACAAACACAAAGACAACTACCTGGATGTGATGCGATTTCACGTAAACAAAATGTGTGGCTGAAATCCTGCCCCCATTTAAATCAGAAGAGAGATTGCTATTGATTTCAGTCAGAGTTAAGATTTTACCCAACATTCTGAAAACAACGACCCCTTCACAGAGGGAATGAAGGGAATGTAAACAGACTGATGAGGCAGTGGGACATTACACCGGAAGTAATCAACCCGTATTTTTTGGTTTTACATTAAGTTTTACAGTAGCTCTAAGCACTTTCTTTTCAACAGTGAAAGTTTCTGAGGTTTTCCATATATCTGCAACTTTCATTTTCAGTTGTCTAACTTTTCTTTTGCCAGTCTTATAGCTACATCCAGTTTTCGCACCGTTTTGGGGAAAAAACGGCACTCCATTTAGAAAGTCCTTACAGACAAGACAAGATCCTCATTCCGTTCACATCTCTTGGGCACGCCTAGCAGACACTGCACGCCTGCTATATGCACAAGCCATACAAAGCTGCGTTCCAATTGCTATCGGCAGGACGACACATGGTAAAAGTGTGTCTGGTCAAAAATAAGAACAATTTATCCAACTTCTTGTAAAGTTTTACTCTACCTGCTTCTCACAGCATCTACAGCCCCCAGAAGCTTTCTTCATACTGTTTTCAACATCTAGAGCCCTTTTGGGATATGTTCTTTCTTTTTTAGTCACGCTCCCCCGGCAGAGAGGACAATGTGTTCCACTTTCTCTGATAGCTGTCAAGAAGCACTTCCTGCAAAACCTAAATTGAAAAGTGACCACAAGCACAGGTTAGCAAAGTGAAGAGAGTTAGATACTTTGTCCTTGAAGAGAGATGGGTGATTATTAGGGAAAAAAAGAGATATAGATCAGAGTAATAGCCTACGAAATACAAATCCTTATAAGCAAAATGAAATAATGGTGCTTACAAAGAAATATATGGAAATTAGGGGAACTGGGTGATGCAATTTAGGTAGAGATGTTACTATTTGTTGTCTAGCACTCCTGAGCTGCACACCAGATTGATCATTAATGAGATATTAAATGGTGCCGCAGGCATGTCATATTGGAAAAAAATCTTATCAGAGCGAACTCCTGTTTATTGTCCTAAAGCAGAGCCAAAACCACTGCAAAGCTGCACTGAGCTTGTGTTTCCAGGGATTTCAGTTCATCAGCTTGCGCGGTTCTCCTCTTGCTTTCCTCCCCCCGTGTATCAACAGCCAAAGCTATTTTGCTTTTCTACAGCGCAGCCCTTTGTAAATTAAACGTTCCTCTGGAAAACGCAGGGCAGATGAACTGAAAAGAAAAGCACAACTAGGCTCTGGCCCTGGTTTGAAAACGAACGGGAAACTCCGAAGTTAAAAACCCGAGGTGGGTCGGATCCGTGCGATGTTCCCACCGGCAGCAACGCGGCCACCGTCGCTCGGACACCCGGGGGCATCCATCCATCCTCCGGGAGGCGGCT